TGTTTCAACGGAATTCATTGCACAGGTGTGCATCATGCATTCTTAACTGATCCCCTGCTGTTTCATCGCCGGACGAATTTAGTCGTTCAAATCCATAAAAAAATCAGTTAATCATTTTTATTATCGTGGACTTTTACGTAAAGGAGATGTGTTCTCGGAATTTAATAAAATAAATTGATTTTAAATCATTCATTGGTATTTACAATAAAAAATAGGTACTCAGTTTATCAATAAATGGGTTCATACTACTAGGGAATAACTAATGCATGAAACTTTCTTTTTCTCAAATTATACAAGTGGACAATTGCTTTTTTTTATAAATGAGTACAGTTATTATGTTTTTTCTAATCGTGAAATTGAATTTACCGACTTTTTTTAACTGTTTCCACCTATTAGTTTTGATAATGACAAATGGGTGTATCTCCAGGACACACCTTCAGATATTAATACAAATTTTGATAAACGAATAAACTGAAATTGCACCTTCTCCCGCATTTTTCATAATTAAGAAGTGGAAATTTCATATCCGATTAAAAAAAAATTACAAAAAAAATACTTTGTGGATTTTTGTCAAGTTGATTTTGCGATTTAGCTAAATTTGATTCTCTACTTTTGGGTGGCAGGAGACAATTATGATCTACAAAATAAAATTGCGGAGGAAAAATCGCGCAGAAAATAGTATTTTTAATTTTTGAAATCAAATCAAATCCAAAATTTCCATTTTTTTGTGTCGTGCTGTCTAATTTTGATCTCAGGTGTTCGAATATGCTGTTTTAGATCATGTCCGTATGTATGTATGTATGTGAGCGTTTTTTTCCAATTTAGTTTTTCGACGACCATTCACAAAAAAATCATCGAAATCTTTTCAATTATGGCTTAAAATATTCGTTTGGATGTTATTTCGGTTGAGTTCGAAAATAGTGGCCATCGCATTATTTACTTTGAAATTACAGCCTTGTTAGGGGGCCAATCTTTGGCCGACATAGGCCCCACCCTGGGCTGACATTGGGCCGCCCCTGGCCCGACATTGGCCCAACCCTGGCTCGACATTGACATGGCCAAGTCACAGTCAAGTCAAAATTGAACTTTTCTACTAATCTGAAATTGATAACAAAAAACGAATATACACTTTTTTGTTTTAATTCGATTAATCCATTCTGAAGCAAATTGCTAATTTATTAGCAGAAAAACTATACTCGATTGACACCTGTGCAATGGGCCACTTGCTTCTTCTCCAAAAATGAAAAAGTGTTGTTCCCGGGGTGAACCTCCCCTTAAATTTCAGAGACCACAAACCTTCCATTCGTCAGGTAAATTAATTTTTAATACACGGAGAGAAATGTTCTGTAAAAATTTCGGAAGACACAATTCGCTCACCGATTACGGAATCGACTCAGAAAATTTAAGTAACTGTATCGTAATTTTTCACAGGAGATTCAAATAAAAATTACGGAACGCTTCGGAAAAATTCCGAAACAGTTCCGTAAAATTTCCTACATCCACATTTCGCTCCGGAATTATGAAAAAGATACGTAATTTTTATCGAATATTTCTCTCCGTGTACGAGCAAGATTTAGCGTCCCTGCGTACCGATTCATCTTCAAATTATCACATGTCAAAAATAAAATGTCAAGAATTTTTTAATACATGCCTGACTCTATTTATCAAAGTGCTCATATTAATTTGACTCCCGACAATCCACATTTCTCCAATGATTTATACGGCACATGTTTGTACCCTAAAACAGATTCACTGTGGTTGTACATGTCACCAGATTGGAGGGGTGTTTTTTAGGATATTCCGAGGCTATGTGACTTAAAAACCCTCCCTCTTGTAACCACCATCCACCCAACAATCCTCGAGCGCTCTCGTGTGGTTCCCCTCGAGAGGAATTTGGCCTCAAATTAAAAGATCTTCGGTGCCTTCCTCTCCCCCCGCCATTGGATGAAATCCCGGTGGCGGAGAAGTATTGGGGTGTGCACCAGTACTCCTCTGTTCCTTTCTCTTTCAAAGGCATTACGAAAAAAATACGTTCATGGATACGTGCGATTCCCCCAATATATTTCGTTTTTTATATGTAACTGCGAGGACTGATGACCGAAGGCGGAGGATAAATACTCATATTGCGGATTTTAATTAAAAAGAATTATCGCAAATGACTTGGGGTTCTTCAATAAAGTTTATACCGTGAGTCTTGTCAACGGATATTGGGTAATATCGTAAATATAGGGGATTGCATTGTGTTGATGGGTTGAAGGGAAGGAAATGAAAGTGTTTAGTGTGTAATGTCTTTTGGGCAGAGGAAAAAATGTTTTGATTTTCAGGGACATCACTGATTTTTACGGTTGATATTTTAACTTTAAAAATTTGATCCCTTCGTTTGTTTGCAAAGAACCGATCGGAAAATACCCGATAGTTTTGAAGCTGTTGTGTTATTACATATCGATGACTCCTACGCTGAGAAAAAAAATTTCTAAGAAATAGAAATTCTATGATTGATCCAAATCGTTCATCGATTGAATAGTCGCAACAGAAAATGCTATTGTAAACCACAAATATCGATTTGAGCTAAACCAAAATTGGATTGTATGAAATCGATTTTGTTATAGTATAGTATATTTTGTTTATTCTATCGAATTTAGAAAATACATGCTAGTTTTGAGGCTTTCGCGGCCATTATTAATGACATTATTGGCTTCCGGATGGATGCCGCGTTTGGTTTCAGCATTGCGCCGACGTTTCGCAAATATTGCAGTCTGCATTGCATCTTCAGGGCTATGAGCTCCGATTCTGAGCTCCGATGTTTGGGGGTTGTCCTTATATGTCTTCCCCTGTGATGGTGGGGGAAGGGGAAGAGGGGGGGGGGTCAGCCAATCGTATGGTTTTAATTGATCAGCTGGTCAATTAAAAAACCGGGAGGACAGTTTTCCAAATGGGGTTCACTTAATATCCTCTGTCCCTGTTGAGGTTGTTAGGGTTTTTATGGATTTCCAAACCCTCTCGGTATTTCCTTTCGAAATACATGTTGTTGCGACAGAATCGATTTCATACAATTCAATTTTGGTTTAGTTCAAACACTTCGGATTTGGCGCAAATAATTTTTTTTTCACAATTGCAATGGAAAAATAATCAGTTCAAATGATGAAGAATTGCGTTTGTCGTAAACAAGAAACTGTTCACTGCGAAAGTCTCGCATCAATGAGTATCCAACAATATGTTCCTCATAGACCCAATGAACATTTTATTGCATCTATGAATTCTGCTTTCAATTGAACAGATATTCTTTTGCGGGATATCGTGACGCTGATAAAGTGGATAATTACATGCTTTATTCGAAGAAGATATCTGATAATACAGACATTGATTTGTATGTACTGAAAAATAGATAGTAGCAAAAAAAAAGTTTAGATAACTGATCTCATTCTTTTTCAATCGAAAACATTAAAATTAAATCAATATTTGTGTCTTACAATAGCATTTTCAAAATAATGAAAGAATAGCCATAAATCAAATTTCTAACCTTGTGTTTTGATAGAATCAATAGAATGGCAACCTAAATGGCAATGAATTGCAAAAATCACCAATTGAATACTGAAAATATTTTAAAAGGGGATGACCGACACGGAGAGAAATGTTCAGTAAAAATTACGGAACTGACAATTCGCTCACCGATTACGGAATCAACTCAGAAAACTTAAGTGACGGTATCGTAATTTTTCACAGGAGATTCAGATAAAAATTACAGAACTCTCTGGAAAAATTCTGTGACAGTTCCGTAAAATTTCCTACAACCACATTTCGCTCCGGAATTACGGAAAAGATACGTAATTTTTATTGAATATTCCTCTCCGTGGACTAGAAAATGGAGAAAATTTGTTTTTCTTCATTTGTGTCGGTGAAAACTCGGAATCACTGTTTTTTCTTCGAATATGGGCGGGATATGAATATTTTGGAATTCAGTGACCCTCGTGATCCTCATTCTGACCTTGGCGACCCCTATTTTGACCTTCGTCACCCTTATTCTAACCCTTATGACCCCTGTGGCCCTCAATTTTGTAGTTTTAGTTTCGAGTACCAAATTTTCACCACCAGAAGTCGACTTGGATTTTTATAATATAGAGAGATAATCTTCATCTGGCGTTTCTTGGTAACGGAAAGATAATTTCTGAGGAACAACCATCAGGCATAATTTGCATTTATCAAAATTTCTCTGTTCTAATTTATGACGAGAAATATGATACAATATTATTACATAATGAAATGTATGAAAGTGCTTCATAACAAACATTATAAATTTCCATCAATTCCCCGTGGTCAAATTCCGGAGGAAAGAGTGATGGATGGAAGCAAGGGATAGTGGACGAATGAAATAATGAAATCTCGAGATTCTGTGGTGGATGAGTGAAGGGGCTAAAGAGCGGGGAGGGGACTGTGAAGTGCTGTTGGACGACTAAGAATTTCAATTTGCGGTCAGGAGGGTGGTCCGTGAGAATGGGGGATGTCAACGGATTCTGGAGATATCGAGACTACAACCGACCTTTGCCGAAAACACAGGGGACGACTTCGAGGGTAAAAAAGAATGTGGGGTGATGATCAGGGTGAAAAAATGACTGGTTGGATTCAATCTCATTTCATTGTCTCATCAGTTGTGATCGTTCAATATTCAGGGGCAGTGAAAAATTGTTTCTTCGCATTGTTCGTGGAGAGAACGGGATGGGATGGATCTTATTCAACTTAATAAAATGAAATCAGTGAATTATACGTGATAGAAGGAAATGATGTGCAAAGGAATTGTGAATTGTGAATGAAGAAAATCGTTTTGAAAACAACAGACTGCAAAGACAATTACCTCTCGTCGGAGAATCTCTTCCCGGAAAAATAATTTATACTCAACTCCCGTAATTCATCTGTTGATTCTACGTATAATTGACGTGATCAAACCAACATATAAAAAGGCAGCGTAATTTCGATCTTTCTCAGTATTTTTCAATCCCCATCAAACTGCGCGGTTTGATGCTTGTCAGGTGAAATCCAAAGGAGAAAAATGAAGCTACTCTGGGCATCTGTCACTCTTTTATTAGCGCTACTGTCTATTGCTGGAAGTCAAGGTGAATGTCAATGCAGCAATAAAAGAATATTTAGAGAAGAAACGATGGAAAAAATGTATCCTCTGTTGTAGAATACTCTTCGCAAGGTTCAAACCCAGCCCCCAACAATGGATATGGCGCGGGGACCGGATATACTGATGGATACTACGACGGCTACGCTAATAGATATAGTTACGAACAAGGTTATCTAATGGGGAGGCAAGAACGAGACAGAGGAAGAGACAGATCTCGAGGTAGAGGAGGACGTCGTGACTACGATCGCCGTGACTACGATCGTCGGGACTATGATCGCCGGGACTATGATCGCCGGGACTATGATCGACAGAACTATCAATGAAGACACTTGATTATTAACAATTTATCAGAACAAATTTGACCCTCAATTTTGTGGGAATTGTATGCCTGAGAAGTACTCCCAATAAACGAATGATAAGAACTGAGTTCTCATATTGGCTTCAATGCGCTACGCTGATAGAAAAAATTATTTTTATTGAGATGTTTCCTTCTTGAAATAAGCAGTGTATAGTTGAACCAATTTCAAATAAATGAGATCTTACGGCGAATATCAATTATTTCTTCTTGAGATGCATCCATTTGAATCAAATAAAATAGTCCTTGGCGTCAAGTCACATGTATTCACCACAAAAATGGAAAAGTTCTATTTTTTTAACCTAATATAATCTCCAGTCGAGAAATTTTCTACTTTCATGAATTGATGAAAAATTCGTATCTAGGAGATGATTACATTGGGGAATGAATTGAATGTTGTTTTCTCGAATGAAGCCGATGTTTAAGGATTGACGTAAGCAATTTTGGCGGGAGTTTTTCACAAGGGTAAATTTTTTTATGGTCAAACGCCATGAAACTTTGGCAAAATGTTATTTGAACCATTATAAGATGATCGATCTATCGCTTAGCTCTTTTTCATATTGTCGATATCAACTAAAACATAAACCAAAAAAATCGATATTGACAATATTGACGAAGAGCTGACCGATAGATCGATTATTTTATAATAGTTCAAATAACGTTTTGCCAAAGTTTCATGGCATTTGACCATAAAAAAATTTACTCTTGTAAAAAAGATGCTTACGTCAATCCTTAAATTGAGCTTTCCGTACATCACATTGAACGAAATTTGTGATACCCAAGTTTGTGTTGAATTGCCGTAATCTGTGATTCTGTTATTGTAAACTCATGCGATTTTTTTTAGTCAAGAAGTATAAACTTCTTTCAACTCAACGACATCTTACTACAATCTCACAGCTTTTTCCGCGTAACAATATTCATCCTGATTCGACATACGAAGTGCTCACTTCAATTATAATTTACTCGGAACAACGTGTGATCGTGTTGATTGAGATAACAACGTATTTAGTCATGAGAATAATTTTGAGATTTGAGTAAACCAACGAATTCCCGGAGCTAGCAAACTTTTGGCCGGAAAGAAATCAAATACTCTCACTATTGCGACAAATAAAAGCAACTTCAATTCTAGAGAAGTTCGATTTCTCCCAATCAAATGTATCTCAAGAAGAGATAACTGGTATTCACTGTGAAGTTTGTTTGAAAATTAACAACCAACTGATGGTTGGTTCAAATAAAATTCTCTTGATAACATTAATTTTTTCTGTCAATGTATAGCTGATAGGTCGACAAATCAATTTTTAAAGGAAAGTAATTTGGAAAAATTACTTGATACAGCAGTTGGACTTAACGTGGACTAATGTCTTATATTCATCCAATGATTGTTGTCATCTCCATGATATTAATTGATTTAAGGGGAGATTACTATGAGTTTTAAAGTAGCTCTACCCTTCGGCCGGGCTACGTTGTACTTTTGGATATTTTCAGTTTTTAAATTTTTCAACTAAATTGCATGGAAAAAATTGGAAAAAATTCATACCCAGTCAGTATTATCTAAATTAAATTTGGCAAAATATTGATATTTCTTCAAACATTTCCCTTTTATAATTTAATAAAAAAATAATTTTATAATTTTATAAAAATCTTGTTTGCAAAACGGTGGATTATTTTTTATGAGGTGTCAAAAAAATTCTTGATTTTTTCACATCTAATGAAAAAAAAATTAGATTTTAATCTTTGATTACAATGGAAATGTTGATTTTCACATGAGACACTGGGTTAAATCCAGATTTTTAAACAGTTCTTCTTTGAAAAACCAAAACGATAATTAAATTGAGAAAAAAATTAGAATTCCGAATCTAATCGAGTTTTCTGCAATTTCTTTGCAGTTTTCCATAATCTTTGAATTTACCGTAAGGGTCGAGCTACTTTAAAAGTCGCAGGCTATTGGAATGAGATTTCTCACACATTGAGGATCGATTATATACATCTAAAAATGAGTAATTAGTGCAAAAAAATTAATTGTTTATTGTCCGTTTGCCCCGCAGACGCTTAAAATGTTAAAAACAGTCCAGGGCCTCCAATTTTTGAGCTACAGAGGTTTTTTTTGAGAAATGAGTGAACCATTTGAAAAAAAAATGAGACGCCATAGGTTTGGAACACATCTTCTTCGACTAAGACGCCTGAATATCTAAAATGCGTCTTAACGTCTCAATTTAGGGTACTAAAAAGGAGACGAAAGTGTCGACATTTTATGCACTAATTTTTCTAGTGTATGATTTTTCGGGCAATCTCATTTTACGCCGTGTCCTATTATCCCCCTTCGCCCCTATTCTTCGAATGCTCCTACGATTTTCCCCAATTAGTTGCATGATTTTTTTCATTAGTCGCATGCAATAAATATAGGAAATAAACCTGTAAACAAGTTCTTTCACTGAAAAATAATCACGTTTTTTCATCACCTGAAAAATACAAGTAATAATTGTGGCCAATTGTGTGCTGTTGAATGAACGCTTCCTGAAAGGGGAAAATTAAAACTCCTCATTACCGCAATTTGTGCCTTGCGATGGAAAATAATGAACATAATTAACTAGGCGTATAAAAGACTGAAAATTTTCTGTTTTTCCACAGTACAACTCACACATCATTAACTTCGAATTTACAATTTCGAGAAGGAAATGGGAGGCAAAAATATGAAACTGCTGCTGATGGTCTGTGTAATCGTTGTGGCACTAGTGGCTACTGTTCAGAGTCAAGGTAAATTATTAAAGAATTAAAATAATATGAAAGAAATATCTTGTGATCAGCCAGAAATCGTTTTCATGACGGAATTATTTTAGGTTACGGTCGGCGAGAATATGGTGGCAATGACTATGGACGATATGACGGATATGGCAGAAATGGATATGGACGAGATGATGGATATGGTGGGAATGGTTATGGACGTGGTAACTCTTATGGTGGAAATGGCTATGAACAGGGTTACGGAGTTCCTGGTCCGGGGAGTCCCAGTTTTACTCTCATGCTCTGAATAGAGCTCTCATGAGCAAGGAACAATGGCTCAATCATGCGAGGAAATATTTTTACGTGCACTGACAGAAATATCGGGATAATATCACAAAATTTTTTTTTTGCGTCAAATATCTCATCTCTTGAGGATAAAACGCTTAGGATAAGAATTCCGCATAATGACTCGGACCGTGTATGAATCCTGTGAAACGTTCGTGACTTGACCACGACTACTTGGCGATAAAGTGACAATTTTTTGCCTCAAGAAATCGTTGATTTCGTGTCAAAAGATGAAAAAATTACTAAAAATACTAAAAGCTTCGATTCTGACTTTTATATTGAATGAATACAGAACTTATGCAGCGGAGACCATTCAGATATTTCTAAGATATAATTGTCACTTGCTCTCAATCGCAATGAGTCTGAACGAAAGCAAGAAAATCTTTTCCTTCTCTCAAACTTACTTTGTCCCTTCAGTAATATTATCTAAGTTCCAAAAAAAAAATGTATCAATTTTTCATTCAGTATCATCCTCCTTTTGCCCGGACACCGTTTTTTTCTGAAACCTACCATGAATTGATCAAATATGCATGCGATGTTCTCCACTCAAGAAATTATTTTTGTCATATTATGTCGATTTTTCTCTCAGTGTATCCAAAAGTGTGAAAAATAATGATGAAATATGAATGGATAGAATGAATCGAATTGATATGGAACTTCTGTGCATACGAAATCAAAGCACTTAATAAATACCATACCAGGAAGACCCACAAAATTTGGTTTATTTCATCGAGTTATCCTTTTTGTGGTACAATAGAACTTCCATAACTGCTCACCTTCGTAAGTCGATTCTATACAAATTATTGGCTATATCCTCTTCTCATGAGAGAGGCCAGGTCTATTCTTGAACTGAAATCGTGCGTTCGATTTCGATAGGTCGCATGCGACTCGTGGTACGCCTTATGGGCCGTATGCGACTTGTTGAAGTCGAACGTACGATTTCAATTCGAGAATAGGCTCGCAGTACCATGTCTTCTCTACACATTCGTTAGTGCTAGAGATGCAAAATGACCGTCATTTTTTAGATCGTGTCATATGACCAAAAAATGACGGTCTTGTGACGGTCATGTGACGCACAAATTTTCCAACTACAGATGATTATCACAAATCATTTGTAACCAAATTGTTGTCAAACCATCTATATAGTTGCATAATGACGGTCATAACTAATTTCCAATTTGTGACGGTCATGAATAAAATAAAATAGTTTCATCTATATGGATGAGAAAAAAAACGTGATTTCCATTTCAAAATGCGGATTAAACCAATACAAAAGGAATTCAACTGAAAATTGACCGAGAAAAAAATAAAGTTTCATCTATATAGATAAAAAATGACTGTCATTTTTTCTTGACAAGCTGTGACGGTCACAGAAGGGGGAAGGGGAATTGTGATAGCCGTCATGAACGCCTCGTCATGTGACCGTCATTTGACCCGTCATATGACGGGTCATGTGACGCATTTGCATCTCTAGTTAGTGCACAGTGTCCCATCGCACGCGGGGAATCGTTCCCCCACCACTACAATTTCCCTTTATGACCGTTCTCTCTCTAACCTCTTCCGTTCTTTCTTCAATGCGCGAATATACAATTCAATAGATTCTTTCTTCAATTAATCTGAGGGAAAATCGAAATCCTCTGAGGCAGTACTCTCCCCAGTATTCGGAATTTCAAAATTCGGTATGTCCAATATAATTCCTGAAACAGAGAGTTGATATTTGAATGATATAAACATTTATTTCAAGGGGAATTAATTCCTCAAATTCAAGAACATGCCTCGAGTTTCTGATCTCTATTTGATCTTTCCAATACTGTGATGAAAAAGTAAACGTCCCAATATTTATTTATCTTTCTAGCATCAAAACAATCTTTAACACATCAATTCATTGCGCATAATTCAACCTAAGCTTCTCAACTCGCTTGTACCGCGTGTCGTTTGGGACGTTACGCGCATGCGCGCCGTCGAGAGAGTGAGAGAGGTGGCCCCCAAAATCTACTCCTCTCTGGCTCGGTTTCCATTTACGAGTCTGGCATTGCAGTGCCCTTTCCAGTATATAGTATATTTCAGTGGTTCATGTACCTTTTGCTCTAAAGTCCAGTTTAACAAACGGTCCGTTTATCCAATCATCGGCTTCGCCAGAGGGTTCCAAGTGTTATGTCAATGGACCGTTTGCTAAAGCTCCGTTTGGAAAACGGGCCTTTAGAGGAAAAGGAACATGAACAAACCGGCCCTTTATCATATTCAATACGCCTATTCTCACGTCGTGGGGAACGCGCCGTTACACTAGTCAGGTGAAATACAATGGGAAGATTGACTTTTCTTTTGTAGAAAGGATGAATTTGATGATTCAGCATTCTATAATTTCATACAGTGAGCAATTCTACGATACACATATTCACAGTTCGATCGCGATCCTCAAGATATTTCGATGGTTTTTGTGAATGTGTGTATCCATTTGTATTCACACAAATGCACTCTGATGGTTTCAGGACAGCTGGAGAAGAGTTTACGAATGGCATCGCTTCTTGATGATTGTTGTTGATTTATTTGTTCACATGCTGAGATTTGGAATGGTATTAATTGCAAATGAAACTGAAACTAGCGAAAGATTCGACAGTAGAAGATTTGTCTTAGGCGAATCTAGGAGTGTACGAATGTTTTCAAGTAATGTACAAACTCATTGGCACTTAAAAAAACATTTGTATATATGATTATTTGACTCTTCCACACTTAAATATCGCCTAAATTGAATTTTCCGCTGATGAATATTCTGCTAGTTTCAGCTTCAATAATTGCAATGTTGTGATCTGAAGTGTTGTTAGTTAAAATGTTGTAATGGGAAACGTGCGAAAAATCGCTGAATGCAAGAAAAAAATTTAGTGGAAAAACCAAGCACTATCTCTAAGAAACTCTATTGAATTTCTATTCCAACTCGACAAGGATGAAGTTTTATAAGAAATCTATTAAAAAATTATTTTTTTTGGCGCGATTTCTATACGAAATTATGCAACTTTATGGTATCATTTTGTTAAAAGATATTTAACAGAAAAAAGTCAATAGATTTTTATTTTTGTGTAGAAATTCTTGGGGGTAAATTTTCGAACAAATTAATCCTCGGCCTTTTTTCGAACATTTTGACATTTATTTATAAAAAAGGAATATAGATCTAACCTTGAAAATAATCGCCATCACTTTGCACGCGTGACTCCCATTTGGGCAATTATCGGATTCGGACTCGGAAGAAGTGGGAATCCCCTTTTTAGCCGAAATTTTCGTAAATAAAAATGATTCTTGTTATTTTTTTTACGAGACACTGTTCCGGTCTCCGTATGATTCACTTATTTATAAGTTGCAGCTTGAATAAGATGAGTCGGTTGAGAGTAATTGATTGATCATTCTCATCCTCTCTCTGTGTCGATGCTATCAGAGACAGCTGTCATTACTGCTCTCAAGCGTTACACGCAAGTGATTACATGAATCTCGTACTTAAACTATAATTGCATCTGAAGGCGAGTGAATAATAGATAACAAAAACGAATGATTCATTACAGGTGATGTTATTTACGCATTGTTATTTACGATATGGTATTTACGGATTTATTTGATGACGTTCCCTTGTCACTTGATATAAAAGACCAGGGATTCCAGTGAAGATCCATACTCATTCCGGGAAAACTCAGTGAAGATGTATTTCTTGTGGAAAATTTTCGTGGTCGTACTAGCATTGATTGCTGCCGCCCACGGTCAAAGTGACTAATTAGTAATCGAAAGGAATTTCAATAATTCTCTCGTGACATTACGATTCCACGAATGATAAATACCAATCCAATTTACGCTTGTATATTTTCATACTTATGAGATTCATAAAAAGAAATAATGGATGAATAGGTTAAAATTTAATTGACATCGAAGACGTTTTGCTTCCTAAATATCAGTACCACCAAGTATCTAGAGTTTTTTAGTACTAAGAAAATAAAAACTTTCTTCCTCTGAGATTAAGGAATACACTGAGGGAAAAACGACAAAGTTCTCAAACAAGTCACTTGTGCCAAGAAAATAGATTTTTGAAAATTATCAAAAAAGAATTTTTTGTGCCAAACATGCAATGCGCCGGAATGAAAAATTTTTGTCGTAAAAATAGATTTAGGAGTTGAAAAAAAAATTCATTCTCTGTAGACGCAAGAAATGTCATTTCTAGCACTACTTCTTCGTTATTCGATACTCCCATACGTATTTTGCTCCCGAAAAATCTTTGTTTTATGCGAAACAAGGGATAGTAGTTTTTCGTTTCGGCTGTCTAATAATCACAGACAAGGAATGAACCCTTAAATGAAAAAATAAAAAAAAATCGTTGATAAGTCGTTGATAAACTTTTCTCTATGAGATATTTTCATTCTGGAAAGGCACCGGTGTGCATTATCCGCCTCTTGGGCCAAATATTTCATTGTTGTCGAAAGCAGAACAATTATTCATGTTTGAGACTTCCAAATTCGAAGAAAACAAATTCTTTTTTGGTAATTTTCAACAGCGATTTTGCTGGCCCAAACAAGACTTGTTTGACAACGTGTTTGTTTTTCTGTCAGTGTAGGCGTAGAGAAATATACTCAGACGATTCTTTATATTTCGATATAAAGAAAATTCATGACATGTATCATCTTGGCAAATAGCATTTTTCTATGAATTGAACTCATTCTGAGTGTATGATGTATATTTTATTTTTTGAATTAAAATTTCATTGGCAAAGGCATGGGATACAACATGGGAGTTGGAGGAAACGGAGCAAGAATGAACGGATACGGAAACGGGGGTGGACAGATGCGTGGAATGCCAGGTAGATATGGTAAACATTTTATTAACGAGCAATTGCCAAAAGACTGGATACTTAAGAAAATCGCTTTTTCAGTCCCTCAAGGAAATGCCAATATGAAATACGGAAATGGCCGAATGCAAGGCGGAATGGGGTTCGGCTACATGTGAAACTATTAGTAACTGACTCTTAACGGCCAACGATTCCGGACTTACGAATTTGAAGAATGTAAAAGCATCTTGATCATCTCAGAGTCTTTTCGAATAAAGATATATAATAATTGGTATTTATGAAGTGACTTGTAATGATACTATCATTTATACCTTCGCGCCATCAAATATTTCCTGAAATACCCAAATAAGGCGCAATGGTCTGTCACATCACACTGAGAGAAAAATCAACATAATGTCACAAAAATCATTTCTGGAATGAACAACATCGCATAGATATTTGATCAAGCTATGGTAGGTTGCAGACGAGAAATCGGTGCTCTTCGGGCTAAGCAGAAAGTTACTGAATGAAAAGATGATGTCTTTTTTCGAACTGAGATAATATTCCTTGAGGAGAATCGGGCGAGGAGAAAATGTAGGAGGCGAGGCGGAGGGGTTTGTATTGTTTTCCTGCAGAAAACCAATCGCTGAACAAAAAAATTTTTCCTATTCGGATTCAAAATTGAGGCAATATTAGGGAGTATCTCCAGTTAAAAATTATTTTTGGAGCTAATCAAATTTATTTGTATCTGTTCCACGCATTGAGTGGTTTTCAGATTGTTTTTTTTAATAAATTAAAAAATATTAATCCATGCAAAAAAGTGGCAACATCGTCGGTAGTTTTTTTTTCACCAGGAGCTGGTACCACTGGCTCGAGGGAGCTCCAATCACAACGCTTCCTCGTTCTCTCTCAAGAGACGTTTAAATTGACCGCGCTACCCCCACCCGATCGGTACTTGGGACGTTGCTGCTGGTTTGGGCTGCGTGCGCAGAAATTTCATTTTTCAGTCCTTTTTTCGCTATTATTAATAAACAATGCTCCTAGGCGACAATCTTTTTCACTCAAAAAATCATTGACCACATGTTCTAAATGTGTCTAAAGTTTCATGAGTTTGGTTGCATTTTATCCTTGGGTTTTGCAGTTTTTTGGTGATTTCCATAAGATCACGGGTTAAATAATCACTTTTTCAAAAATTCATAATAAATTAACCATGCTCCCCAGCAGTCTGAAACTTTGCACATACTTTTTCCAACATTTAAAGAATATTTAAATAAGAAAAAAAGAAAAAAATGGCTGCTGTTTTACTAACCCTCTCAGCTCGCCTGATTATCCTTAAAAGACAAGAATAGTTTGACAGAAGAAAAAGCAGATATTGCTTCCCTTCGAACTCAAAGCGATTGAGCGTGGTCGACGGTGATATTTTTTTAATATCTGGAGGTTTTCCTCTGCATAAACTCTCTATTATTTCAATATGAACGTCTCTGATTCATGATTCACTGAATCGAAGCTTTTAATATTTTTAGTCATTTTCTCATTTTTTGACACGAAAAAAACCGATTTCTTGTGACAAGGAATTCTCACTTTATCATGAAATGTTCATGTTCAAGTCACAAACACTTCACCGAAATCTGACATTATCTGGCACATTATCCGGAATTCGTATCCCAAGAAATTAATCCTCAACAGATGAGATATTTGGCGCAAGAAATTAGTTTTGTGATATTATGACGATATTTCTCTCAGTGCAGGTGTCCGCTACTCGGACACTAGCAGATCGTACAAATTTTATATAGAATTCGTGCGAGTAGTCTGAGTCTTCGATTTGTTTCGATCTAGATATATTTCCCCCTAGGGCAAAACGGACCACTGACAGCAAATTGATAATTTTTGTTTTTGCTTCCGAATGGAAGCTTTGTAATCGTGATTTTTTTCGATTCCTTAATTTTGAGTGAACATGCCTAGAAATGTGACGACACTTCTTGTCTATAAAACCCCTGTGACAGTTACGATTCAAGAAACTCACTTTTAATTCAACACATTCAGTGTTCCTGATTTAAAGGAAAAAGAAAAAACAAAAATTATCAATTTTCTGTCTGTGGTCCGTTTTGCCCTACCCTCCCCTATACAAATATGGGCACCGGCATGTTCCCGATTTTCCTGATTTTTACTGAATAATCCTAGTGAAACTTACAGTTTTCGGTGATTTTCTAATAAAAATTTTCAATCGTTTCAACCAAAGATTTCATGAAATCTGATCGGGAATGTGTAGTTAACAATTTTACGCATGTCTACCGGGAATTTTAGTCGGAAATTTCTAGAAGCGCACAATTCTGTCGAATATATTTAATCAAATGACTATATAATCGGTAATAAATAAGTGAACTTTGGTCTTGAGATGGAAATGACACTCTCATCCGCGAATCTTCCCGCCGATAACGATGACAAAAAATATATGATAATATAATTGAAATTATAGGCAGAAAACGCCGATTCACATCAGCGATGGATTTTTTTAAATGCAGAATGATCGAAACCAGTCATATAAAAGAGTCGATACTCCAGCATTACTTCACACTTGGTCTACAGCTACTGGAGAAACATGAATTTCTTGCAAAGTTTTTTTGTATTGATCATCGCAGTTATTCTCGCTGCTCAAGCTCGAGGTGAGTCAATAGTATATTGTGCCCCTAGGAAGTAAAAGTATTTTCTGATGAATGTGACGTTCATGTGAATGTGACGAGCCTTCGGCTCGGGTTATAACGTCACATTCATCAGAAAATACTTTTACTGCCATGTGGCACACGATATTTTATGCCTCGAGGACTGAAAACCGCGATTTAACCGAGCGAAGCGAGGTTAGAATCGCAGTTTTCCGTCTCTAGAGGTATAAAATTAATTTTCAAGAATTATTTTTATCTGAAATGACTTGCATTTTGCAGCTAGTATACAATAACGATCAACAACTGTCCAGGACATCTTTCTCTGATTAGTTCCCCCATATGGGGGAGCGGGACAGAACGGACCAATTCAGTAGTGAAGTGGTAAACGGAGATAAGTCGACTCATCTCCCGGTTGAGTTTTTGAGGAATATTTCTGAATCTAAGGGAGATGGCGAAATTTTCGTAATTACATTTGTTGTAGCACTTAATCAGCTCCACAAAAAAGGTTATAACAAAAATTATGCCATCTGCCTTAGATTCCGAGATATTGATTGAAAACTGGTCAATAGTCAAAATTGACTTATCTCCTTTTACCACTTCGCTACTGAATTTAAGTTTTCAAAATCTGCTGATCATACAATAGGCCTGTAGTGCATCTCTCTATGTGTAGGTTATTGTTTTGAATTTGCTGTGTACATACGCGACCTCATCACCTCAGTTTCGCCCTCAAACCCAATAGGTGGCGCTGATTGGCGTATATGTACACGGCTAAACATGCTCATTCTTGGTTGTGTGAGATGCGTTACAGGCGTATACGATTCAGTTGAACTGGTTCTTGTTTCAAAGCTTGTCGAGCAAGCTATTATTATTATTATTATTGTTCTATTAGATATTAGATAAGAAAAAATCAATAAAATTTGATTTTTCTGTTTGAAGTTTTCTCTTGAGATTTTTTCTATTAAAATTATTGAGAGCGGACTTTTCCAATTTTTTTCCATAGATTTTGTTTTGTTTTGAATTATAGTATCCGAGTGAAAACAACTTAGAAAATTCATGCCCAAGTATTCTTATATAAAAAATGCCAAGATAATATTCATATAGAAAAATCAAAATCTCAAAAAACAAATAGAATGTTAACGAGAATTTCCTAGAATTTTAATAGAATTCCAATAGAATTTCTGGAGTTCCAATAGAATTTTCTAACGAATTAGTTAATTTTTTCTATTGAATTTTGTCATACATGGAGTAGCCCCTCGAAAATTTCAGTGAAAAATTTTCAACAGTCAGAATTGACGTTTTCTGACCGAAATTTCATAATTCATATTCACTCTCCCCCAGTCTTATCACGATTCCTATAATTTTGCTGATTTTGTCGCAGGGAGAGACGTGGAAGTGATTGGGGCGAGGGGGAACTCTGATGGTGACCGCGTAAGCTACGTGTACGAGAAGGACCGTAATGGCGAGGGAGGCTTCATTAAATACAGAACTCCTTATGGTAAATATCGGTGCTCAGTAAAAAAATGACAAATCTTCTAGAAAATGAGTTGAATTTTACGGTTTTTTTAGAACGAGCTGAAGGAGTGATAAGAATCGAAGAATGAGAGAGCTCCTCAGTAATGCATCTCACAAATAGAAAATCTGGCACCGCAATATGATTCGAGTAAGACAATAATCAATTACTGAAATTACTGTGGGATCCATTAAATAAGAATAATAAATAAGAATAAGAATAATTTATAACAAGAATAGTGAGTACTTGCCACATGTGTTTGTTCTTATCCCTGACCCAAAATGAGGAAAAAATAGATACAGAGGAACCCGAGTGGAAATTCTGTTCAGGTCTCGATCAGAAACTGATCAAGTCCAATCCGAAATTCTGATCAGGCATGTTACGCCTCTGCCTTGTTTTTCCACTAGGGTTAGTGATGCTTTCCGTCATGACAGCTTTGTCAAATTTTATCGATTAATAATTTCATTTTTATATTGTATGTAGACTGTAGTTTGATCCTGTAATTGGCCCTGTGCTGTTGGGTCTTTATGAAATAAAATAAAATGAAATGAACTTTTTCCACCTAAATCGAATCCAAGCTCTTGTTCCGGAAAATTCGGCCAAGTTTTTGTTTTTCAATAATACAGCACGGAGAGAAATTTTTAGAAAAATTCTAGTGCTAGCGCGGAAAAAGAGGCGCAAAGTGACAGCCAGGAAAAAATTTCAGTGCCGTCACTAGAAATTTTATTGGGGAAAACGTGAATTTTTCTCCGTATTTCTGTGAAAATTTCACAGAAATCCCCAGAAATTTTACCAGAAATACCAAGAAATTTTACCTTAACAGCACTAGAATTTTTCACAGCCGGTGGATTGTGATTTTTTCCAGTATTCGTGCTAGAATTTTTCTAGAAAACTTCTCTCCGTGAAGAACTCTCTTCATTCCGTTCGTAGGAATATTCCTCCGATTGTCGTATCTTTCCGCAGCTTCTCCGCAATCGCTAATGACGCAAAATTGTGTGATTCTCTGGAAATCATAAATTGCTAATTCAGCTGAGGATAATTTGTTATGAAGAATATTTTGAATCAATCGAGTGTTATAAAAGAGTTGATTCTCCATTATCTGACAGTTCGACGATTATTGTGGAAACATGAAGTTCTTACAGACCGTGCTTGTTTTGGTCATCGCAGTCATCCTCGCCGCCCAAGGCCAAAGTAAGTCGCAATCAATTCACAAATTTTTTTGCAATTTCTAGTCATCCCAATTTTCGAAGCAATTGGAAAAGAGAGATGGCCAATGTGGAATCGTCAATTTCCCTTGAACAATTCTTCTCGAAGGAGAGTTCTCAAAAATTCTTCAAAAAACAAATTCTTTTTTGGCAATTTTCAACTAGCGATTTTGTTGGCAAACAAAACTTGCAATTGTTGGCAATAAATTCTGGTGTCGTTAAATTGAAGTTTCAAGGGATTTAAGACAAAAATTTCCGGGCATTTCTGTAAAAATTTCACATAAGAAGGGGAAAAGTTCACTCAATAAAATTTCCAGCACTGGAATTTTGCTGTGGCCCTCACTTTGCGCCTTTTATCCCGTGCTAGCACTAGAATTTTTCTAAAGAATTTCTCTCCGTGTAAATCGAACCCCCGACTTTCCTCAATGTTATGATGATTCTCATAATTTCGCTTATTGTGTTACAGTGAGAGGCATGGGAAGAGGCTATGAAATGGGTCGTGGAGGATATGGAATGGGTCGCGGAGGATATGGAGGTAATTCTTACGGGAAATACAATGGCCACTTCTCAAATAAAAAATGTTCATTCCAAAATGAAATCCATTTAATGAAATTTGTTTCAGGCCGAGGCGGGGGAATGATGCGAATCGGCAAATGAGCAAGTACTAGCAATATTTTTGACGACTAGAAAACCCGGCATCTCAACCGGAATTAACAGACGAAATGAATTAAACAATGAGGTTAACGTTAATTGAATTGTTATCAAAATCAATAAATAAATAAATTCAATATTCGAAAAATCGCATTGAAAACTGGGAGTCATTTCCGCATATTCCTCTTTACCCGCGCGTACGGTGAACCGCCCATGACACAACAAATTTCATTTAAAAGAAGAAGGGAAAAATATAGAGGAAAAAATTATTGCACCTGCAGTGAAGAGAAAAGTAGAATGAGAGTAACGTAACTACTTCGTGTTTGTTGCAAATGAAAATGTCGCGTCAAGGTACGAGAGAATAGAGTGTGGGGGAGGAGTGAAACTGCCTGGCCCGAGTGGATACGTTACTATCAGGTTCGACCAACTGCAGAGCCGCATACGCATTTACATTTCGCCTCGCTGACTCCTGTGTTATTTCTCCTTTTTTTTCTCGCTTTCACTAATTTCTACATCACATTTTTACCCCGTGCTTTATATCTCAGAGAGTGTGAAAAACTCATGGAGATTCAGTCAGGAGGAATCGACTGCGAGTGTGTTAAAAGAAAAAAATTCCGCGAACTTTACACTTCGGTTGTTGCTTTTAGAAAATTACATCAGATTTTTTTTCATGAGGTCGTTCACTTTTTTGTATTTATTTCGATTTTATAGAAGGAGGCGGTAGGAATATATTCCTAGTGATGAAGGTTTGTATTGAACTATTCGCGATAGAGTATACAATTTTTTAGGAAATCAGAATTTTATTTCGATTGTTTGCTTTGTACAAATCAAAATTTGTTTATTCATGAAATAGAATTTTTAACTTCCCGACCCGAAGGGAGGAAGTTATTGTAATGACCCCGAAAATGAAATGTTGAATTTCGATGATTTGTCCACGTTTCGTGAACTCTAGAGTCATCCTGAAACGTTTCTGAAGAAATGTGTGTGTGCGTATGTCCGTGCGTAGCACCGTATGTGAGTGAAATTTTGTCCAACGATTTCTCCGGAACGAACGAACCGATTCAACTTTTTTTTTTTTGATCGATGCGTCTTCATGTAACTTAGAACTGATTAGATTATGGAAATGATTGCCTCAGCGGTTTTCCAGTTATCTGCATAAAACATATGAGAAAATGTGAAACAACGTTACTTTTACTGAAATTCGACGATTTCATCTGAAATAACGATGGAATTTGAATCAATTTCGTGTAATCGCTGCGTCATCATGTATCTTGAGTGTAATTGGATTTTGAGCGAAGTCTCCTCAATGGTTTTTTAGTTATTTCAATAAAACTTTCGAATTTTCTTCTATGGGTATTTCCTCGGAGAAATGTGAAAAAAAGATTGAATAAATAGATAATAAAAAAATTAATGAAAGAAAAAACAAATGGTCGGGAAGTTATTGGTGCGACCCGTAATGGGTCCCAATTCCACCAACCCCTACCGGTCATACCCCAAAGATTGGCCTGATTTTTTTTTATAATTGTCAACATTTATCATTCGAAAGAAGTTTGGGAGAAAATATTTTTGTGGATGATGAGATTTTTTGTGAATGAACAGTCTAGTGCAAAGGTCAAAGGGTGATGCGAGTATTCATCAATTATTTATTTGGGACATGGAATAATCGTGGTGGGCATCTCCTGTTATATTGTTAGAAAAAAAATGAGGGCCGGTAGGGATTAGTAGAATTGGGTGCGACCCATCATGGGTGGAACCAATCAATTCCCGATCGATGCCTTTTTTTCTGTTGATTAGAAAAAAACGCAAATTTTTAAAGTTTCATCCAACTAATTGAACAACTGCTGAGACGATTCCGCTCAAGATTCAATTAGCATTGAGTTATATGGAAACGCACCGATTATACAAAATTAATTCATATCTCACCGTTATTTCAGGGGAAATCGTCGAATTTCAATGAAATTGCCACTTTTTGTGTTTTAAAGTTTTATGCGAATAACTAACAAACCGCTAAGCCGATCGATCACATGATCTAATCAGTTCCAAATTACATGAAGACGCATCGATTGAAAAAAAAGTTGAATTTCGGAGAGAAAGTGTGAAGTTTTTCTATTAAGGATGTTTAGAAAAACTTGACACGTTATTAATAATCTTAATCCTTCCATCGGGCCATCCTAGTGAGAAATTACTTTCTGGAAATCACTTCTTGTAACATTACGCTTAGGGACGAAACGTGACCTTGTGAACTTTGATCGAGATGTTGCATGGGATAGACACTCAAGATATTGAAAAAAAACCGCAAGCCATTTACTTTAGACTATGGAGAATCTATCGCCGACGAGAACAAGTAGGGGACCGGCCCATATAGGCGTGATATTTTCGATTGATTTTCGAATTCCTCTAAAAAAAATTTGACCGCCATTACGAGTCGAGCAACGTGACAACACCGTACAACAGCTGAGCGAGGGCGGGAAAGTCGGTGACGATAATTCAGTGCTGGAAGCATATGGACACGTATAACACACACAAACATTCATCTCACTGTTACAACCCCACGCGCCGAAGCGTGCGATGTTGGCCGATCAAAATTCGACTGTTGCCACCGCAGTCACGAGTCCTCCATTTATTTATGAACATTTTCTTTAATTATTGTTTTTGCGACCAGAAAAGTACGCCATAACACTTCTAATTTGATGAGAAAAATAATTTGTAACGTCAATGATTTATTTTGTCAATTTTGCTTTTCTTTTCAACTGAGTTGTCCACTTGATAAGTTAAACGTCCTTAAATTTTTCCATCCGAAAAACAAGCCTCAGCATAATTCAAAAATCGTCTCCAACGTACGTTGGCCTTTCACATCGCCATGTAAACCAGAACAAATTGTGAACCACTTCTCATCTGGACACGTCTTCGCGTGTGTTGCGTGACTAAATCGTCCTCTCCCCATCAGCATCTCCTGGACGAGAAGTCAAATTCTCGCATCCGTCCGCATCGAGAAACAATGCCCCTGACGTCGATTGCGTGCCCAGAGGGCGACAGAAAAAATACTCTTTATCATTTCTTTTTATTACATCAAAAACTTGTGGTTTAAGCCGCGAAAAAAAATTGAATTATAATTTCATAAACTTTCAGCATTCTTCGCTTCTACATTCCACTTTCTTTTCAACTACTCCAGGGTGTATATAACCTCTCCCCCGTTCCCGCCCCTGGAACCCAATTTTTCCTTAATTAATGAGTTTATCGGAAAACTCCAATGTTGCGCCTGTCGACGTTGGCAGTCCGCCCCCTCTCCCTCCCCCCAAAAGTTACCGTATACTTTGGCTCAAGGAGATCCCTCAGGGGTGTTCCATCCGCCCTCCAAGCCCTCGCCCGTGTTACCGTCACTCTCCGCCGCCATTTTAATTTCTCCGAAGGAACTTTCTAATTACTAACTTTTCTGATTAATCACAGTAATTAATTAGTAGCTCCGGGCTCTTTCCCCCTCAAAAGGGAATTTTCTTCACCAGCCCCTTTTATTACCCTCACTTCCCCACCCTCTCCTCGCGCTGCTGTGCTCCGAGTTCCTCCCCCCCCGGAATTTATGAGGGAGTTGCTTTTTTTTCGGTGCTCAATTTTTTTTTTCAATGTTTTTGGGATTTTGGTAACTGTACATTGTACAACTGCACCTTTCGACAAGATAGGCGATTAATTTTTCATTCGTACCATCCCTATCGAAACGGGTTTAGACTGGTTAGCGGGGACATGTAAAGATTAATACGCCCTGAAAGCAGAGAATGATTTCAAATCGTTTGGTAATCAATGGTACATCGATACCACAGGCCATAGATTAAATTTGAATATACCTAATTTATAAAAAATTTTACATACACGGAGAGAAATAATCAAGAAAAATTACGGAATTTCAGTGAATTTCTATAGGAATATAAGAAAATAAATCTGAAACGTTCAGTAAATTTTCGGGTCTGTCACCGAAAAAATACGAAAAAGTCACGTAATTTTTCTGGAAGTTGTAAAATCTAACAGAAACTTCAAGACTTATTATGCCTCAGAACATGAAAATTCTTGGATGTTTAAGAATTTTTACGAAAAGTTCCGGAAAAATTACGGAACGTGTTGTTAAAATCTCCCCCTTACGGTGACTTATGGGTAGCCGTGAGGCGTCGGACAGATGAGTAATTTTTACGGAACAGATCGTAGAATTTACGTGACGATTGACACTTTTTATTGAATTTTACTTCGCTCTCAGATTAGGTTTCGAAACGTAATTGTTACGTCTTTTTGCTGGTAATTTTTATTGAATATTTCTCTCCGTGTATTTTCTTTTTGGGACTCTCCACCAACTACGTCCTCGTCATGAGTCCTGGGTCACATCTAGAGTTGGTGAGGATTGAATTCTTCACCAGTAACTATTGGTTCCTTTAAGAACTTGGTTACCTCATTGATAGAAAAGGATTTTAATTCTTTAAAATGAAGGTATATCCACATGAAATTAATTTTATTGTATAGTCGTAACAAGGTACGAGGGAGTTGAGGAAAGAATACATTATATCCATTGAAATTATTTAAAAAAACTGATAGATATAATAAGAAAGGACCACAGCAATAGTGCTTTTGATGATATTCGAATTCTAACGTTAAATCAATCATTACCAAACCATTTTAAAGATGGTTTTGAATACTAGATGTCGAACTTTGACAAGTTCGTTTGTATGCAGGGAACCTTGAGGGAAATACCTGATTAATTTTGAAGCTCGCGTGGTATTCAGCAGAGATTATTTCCATCTAAATTTCGGCCAGGGAGCCTATTCTCGAATTGAAATCGTACGTTCGACTTCAACAAGTCGCATATGGCCCATAAGGCGTACCACGAGTCGCATGCGACCTATTGAAATCGAAAGCACGATTTCAACTCGAGAATAGACTCCCAGGAGAATTGCACTATGAGACAAAATCCATCTGTCAGTTCCCATGAGGGGCTCATTCGAGCAGAAGATCTTTTGTTTTTCATAGATATATCAACATAAAAAATTACCACAGGTAATACCACGAGAGCTTCAAAATTATCGAGCAATTCCCGATAGGTTCGTTGCAAACAAACGAAGGAGTCAAGTTTTTCAGGTTAAAAAATCACGAGCGCGAAGCACGAGTCTA